GGAGACAGCAGGGCGGATTGATTCTGTGACGGCGATGATGAGGATGAAGAGCGTGACTTCATTTGGACAGGAGTAATTGCGGTAACGAAGCATATCAATGCACCTCTTTTATACCAGACCTCATGCCCTGTAATTTCATACTAAAAAGAAGTTGGAGAAGTTCAGAATATTTGAAATTGATAACTACAGCATGCTGTAGTTATCAATTTCGATTATTCTGAACTTCTCCATGCATTTTTCTGTCCTTTTGATTAATACTCGTGTACCCGTTGAATGGTACGTGCACCGTTAAATGTTACGTGAACCCGTTACAGACATTAGAATTTGTAGTCTGCAAAGAGAACAAAAAAGTGCAATATCTCAGCACTGACATATCCGATCTTGTTGGATGTCAGTCAGCAGTTGGATTTCTAATAAAGACTCATGTCGTCCTCGACCCGGATATCCTTCCTTTTCAAGCGGAAGAGAAATGCTCTAAGCTGATAAGTATCACTTTTTTTTTCCAGATTTCATGCATGTAAATGACTAAAATCAATACTCCTAAAACTAACGGAGCGGATTAATGTTAATGAGTGCTTATTATTATTATTAATAACTCTCTTTGAACTCGAACCTCAGCTTACAAACAATTACGAACAGAGAGACACAATTTTGCCAGCATCAAAATGGAACCGCAGTGATTGATCTCCCATCAGAAAGCACATTGGAAACGGGAAAAACGCTGGTTTATTTTAAACCGGTTTGTCAGTTTGACTGCAGTTGTGTTCTGCAATAGTTCAGAACATGAGCAGGTTGATAAGATGGAACGATAGTTTTGTGGATTCATTTCACGATTTTTTCATACTGATAGGTATGATGCTCGCTGATTTTCATCTCAGCGATTGAGTTAGGTGATACGATAAAATCGGACCAAAATGTTCAGCGTGTTGATGTTCTTAAAAGGGAATGAGAAAATGTCATGTGAGTGGTCGTCAAATGACTGCTTCTAATCTTTGAATTTTGCTGTCGTCATTTGGTTATATTCTCATTGTCGGAGCTCGTTTTATTATTGAATGGTGCTTGCGGTTGGAATGATTGTCTGTTTTGGAATGATTCAATAAAAATTTCAGCTGTTCAAGGTTGCTTTTACATACAAATAAGTGGTGCAATTTGAAATTTTGAGAGAAAATTTTAAGATAGCGATAGTGAATAGCGGATCGATTTTGCTGAATTAGCGAATGAGCAGTAGCGTTTCGCTATTTTTTGGCGATATAATTCTTAGGGAAGCGGATCATCGGATACCGCCCTGTCGTTTTTCGATAGCGTGCTCATTTCTGGATATTTTAAAAATGAAGCTTAGCAAAGTAATGAAACAAAAAATACCAACGAAAATGAAAATAACAACTGCAATAAATATGAAAACTCAAATTTAAAAAAAATAAGCAGGAAAGTAAAAAATGAACAAGAGAATTTGCAAGGAAATAAGCATAAAAACAATAATGAAATGAAAATCAATTGAAAAAATGAAACTAAAAGATATTATAGATGAAGAAATTTAAATTCTTTAAAAATAACAATGGAAACGAAACTGAGAATTAAAATGAAAGTAACCGTAAAAACAAAACTTAAACTAATTGTAAGCTTAAAATAGAGTGGGGATAAGCTGGAAAAAGAAATGAAAATGAAACCGTAAATTAAGTTGATGTCAAAAAAATGAATAGAAAGATAAATGTACTAAACAAAGAATAGAAATAAAATTAAATGATAATAACATTTAATCATAGAAAAAGGTGAATGATAAGACATAATTACTGCTAAAGAATATATTAGAATGTTAAGGTACCAAATGACTAAGATGTGGGTGGCTCGGAAATGTTGAAATCACTGTTTGGATCGCTCAGTCCACAGATACTGTGTAGCCAACATCACACCTCTGGAAAATGCATTTTTGCAGCTTACAGAAACGGAAACAAATCTTTTGTCTTTCGTTCTCGAATTCCTTGTCGTTCATTCTCGAATTCCTTGTCAATACCTTGTACACGTTCTCGTCAATTGATTGTCAATGTTTGTCTCATATTCACCGGCTTATATATTGAACACCTATGCCGAAGTCAAGACGAGTTCTTTTGAGCAAGACAAGTCCTCTCAGTACCTCACCTGTCGGTCAATGAAAAAAGATGCAAAATACAAAAGGATTGGTCTTTGCGATTCAACGGCCGGATGCGCATCTTGCTTGTCTCATTTCATTGCTCAGTCATCGATCAACAGGCAGCGACTTTTACGTGCGATCTTTCCGCACAAGAAGATCTCAATGAGAACTTGCATTCATCATCGCAAAGAAGTACGACCGATTGAAAGCATTAGTAATTATTTCATTAATATTGCAATAAACCAGAATGATAACGCAACTTCTGATCACTCGAACACATCCTGGAGAAGAGCTCAAGCAACTGCCAGAACACATTGTGTTCAGCTCTTTGAACTGTTCTGTTCTGTTCGCTACTTTCATTCGTCTTTTGTAAACGGTTCTGTTATGTTTCGTTACTGTAACCAAAAATTTTAACACTGTCTTATTGGGCCCTTCTAACTGCTCTGTTGTGCACTATGATTTTTTCGCGGCTGTTCCGATACTCTCAACGAAACAGTAATAGAACAATTTACCTGAAATGGAAACCTCATTACTAACGTCACACGTGATCACAATTCTCCTCTTACCCATTCCTGTCAACATCCCATTACATCTTGACACGAAATCAAAAGAAAATCAGAAATTTGACTCAATGGTTATTGATCAAGAATACAGCCGCTTTATGAAATTCAATTGTTTATGAATGATCAATTATTTAAGGGAATTATTCGACCACTGAAGAATAATGAGAGTCAAATCAATCAACACTGAATTGCCAACCTCCTCAGTCCTCTCCCATACGAGGAACATTGATATAACTGAACCTTCAAATTGTTCTTTTTCCTTTCATTTATGTTATACTTTCACTTTTAAGTGTTTTTCACCTATTGAGTTGAAAAAAAANAAAAAAAAGAATTGGAGTGTTGTTAAAAATTATTTCTGAACATTCATTGTAATCATTTATTTACGGATAACCGGTGAAGATTTGTGGCGATATACAGATTGATGATTGCAGCAACATTGGAGAGTGGCAAGATGGTTGAGGAAAGGACAATCTCAAATTGGAATCAATCTCAAAATTTCGAAGTAAAGCATTGATTCATTGACAGGAAGAACCATCTCAAAAATTTTTTAGAAGTAAATAAAGCATTGATTCATTGATAACACATAGAAACAATGAGAATGTTCATGAAAATAATATATAACACATTAAAAAACACATTAAATGACATCAAACTTTCGATTCACACGTAATCGAAAACGATAATCGACCCTCAAGAATGTTGACATGTGATCAGCAATATTCAATTACCAATGAGCATCGCTCAGTGTCAGCTTACGAACATCCTCCTCAGCTGCGTCAAGGAGCTCCTTTCGTTCACGTCTCGCTTCCATCACCCGACGATAAACATGATCTTTCACTGTTCCTTTTGATTCCTTTAATTCAACATTGACACAATAACGATAACAACGACAACATCAATTTTTTTCGTTCTTTTTTGTTTCTTATGCTGGAATACAGCAAATAAACGTCTTGTGGATTCATGAAATTTGCATTTGAGCACATTCTGTGATACGCATCACTGTTTTGCGCTATGCTTATTTCCGGCTTCATTATTCGTAAATGTCATTCGAAGACGAAGTGGGACGGAATCATGGATTGTCACCATCACCACATTTTCCTCAGGTGTTGTCTTATGTTCACCTATCTGCAGCAGTTTATTGTTCATTGTTTCCGATGGATTCGAATTGAAAAAAGAAAACACTTATGAAGACTGTTTTGTGCGAAATTTTCGCAGATACTCCGATTTTTGCTAACAATAAGAAAAATGTCACAGTTCATATGATAAAAGTAACAAAATCAAGCTGCAATGAGGATGATCGAGTAGGAAAATTCCTCAGTAAAACAATAAGGCGTGCGCTGTGAATGAGACAGTAGCAATTTGAACTAATCGATCGATTGAGGGCATCAAAATACTCCATTTTTTCCTCGAATATTACCTCGAAACGAAAAAATCATTGAACTGTTTTCAGCTCTGAATTTCAGCAACCAAATTGAGTGTAAAAGGTGTGTATCGATCAATAAGTGAAATTAACAAACAGGTCGATCAAGAGAGCAGACGATAAATGGTGTTAGCGAACGATCGTCTCCTTTGGAGATCCATAATCTCGTTGGACCATCTGTCTTCAACCGAGAGCACACTTGATTTGGATCATCGATAAAACCAAATGATTTTGATTCAAAAACATGCAATTCGTTCTTGTACTGACACTTTGTTTGGAACTGAAATATTTAGGATGCTGTGAAAATGTTCGCCTCAATAAGGATGTTGTGAAAATGCGCAAAGATGTGCATGGATTGATGGAACACATTGCTGTTCACTTACTACTAATGACATGAGCACAACTAGAGTTTGCACGGGATCCCGGGATTACAGTTCTGATCCCGATCCCGGGATTTGATAAAACAGATCAATTTGTGTGAATTTTGATAGTATGCCCATCTTGAAGCAAGAGACGCAATTCGGACGAATGACATGATCAGCGACAGCTCGATGAACTTTTACGTAACATTTCATTGAATATTCAACTGATTATTCTGCTCTTCATTGGTTTATATCACTCTCATCTGGATGCATTTCTATGTAATAGACTAACAGAGATAATCACATTTTCTAATAAAATCCAAGAGCAACAAAGTTCGATAAAATTTTGAGTCATTTCCTCCCACAAGATTTGTTCGGCTTCAATATTCCATCTATTAATTCAACTGCATGTTCCAAAGACTGCAAGTCTTTTTACTTCG